CTCCCTCTTCCATACGACAGCGTTCTGGCTCAGTAAGTTGTCCTTGAATCTTCTGCGTAAGGGAATACTTCTACTTCCTACTAAAATCGATATCACGAGTGGTTGGTTCGGCTCGTTTCCGAGCTTTTTAACTTACTACCAATTTCAGGCTGCCAACTCCTGGCTTGACACATACGATGGAATGGCAGCGTTTCAGAAAATTCATCCCAACGTGTCAGTGATTTTGTAGCTGAAAATCTCGGTTCCCATTAAGCTTCTTCATGCTGAAAGCCATTTCAGAGTGAGCTTCCATCCATTCTTCATTCCTGATCTTTTCCCAGAGGATATGGAGGAAATCGTAAAAGGCGGTGGTTGCGATCCTCCAAAGTTCTCTGATCGAATGGAGTACCTTATGAGAGATCGATTCACGTACCAAGCTGAAGGTGTCGATGTGACAGATTTCGAGAAGAACGTAGAAGTTGGAAAGAAGAAACGTCTGGAACTGGAAAAGAGCCTAGGAATTGACAGACAGGTTAGTGAGATCTGTTTAGCCGCGGAGAAGAAGAGCTCGCTGTCCTATCTACATTGACACAGGGCGGCCATGTGGCCCAAATCAGAACCATCTAGGGAGTAGGGTGAGGATGTGGCCATAGATTTGGAAAGGTTAACTCAGTGAAGGCTTTGTGTATGCGTCTTTGTGTGATGGCGGATACCTATCCACGGTGGCTCACCCGACTCGCCGCACCCTCTGACCGATGCTAAGAGGAAGTTCAGATTTACACATACGTGTGGCGGCCATCTATCCAAAAATTATCGAGGTTCAACACCCATATCTGTATGGGACGATTAGCTAATTTCACATTTCTCGGCGTTTCCGCTATTCCCTAGTTTGTAGATCGAGACAAGTGTTCGATGTTGATACCGAATTCCAAGCTTCCACAGCTCCAGTTACTACCTCCTACCATTAGGGCGAAGGTTGTACAATGGCACGTAGTCAGGGGAAAGAATCCAGTAACGATATCCACCCACATCAACCGAACCATCCAACCCTCTGGGATCGCTTAGTTGGTAACAGAATCGTCGACAGTTAAAAGCAGCTTCCACATTGGGATATTTACAGACGACTACAACTATGATGGAAATACAACCTGATGAGGAGGAGGCTACAATAGGAAGCAAAAAACGACGTAAAGATGAAGCGGAGGATTACTGGGCATCTAAAGAGAAGCAGATCCTTGAACTCAAGGTGAGTCGTGTTCCTAATGCTACTAATGCAAAAGGAAAAAAACAAACCAACAACCTTCGAGTTTGTTAGACTGGAGGCTGTCTTCTGAAATTTAGGCAAAAAGAGAAGGGAGAAAAATGGTCCAACCAGAATCGTCAAGAATTCCAAGTGAAGAACCCTCAAAAGAGAAGGTGGAAACGATACAAAACATTAACAAGCAAACACAGCATGGTAGCTCCCCAGCAAAAGCTCTGGCCCAATTTATTGATAAAGGACTTAATAAGCCTCCTACAAATCCGTCCAAAGAAAAGTTGCAAGGCCTTGGACAGCAGGTGTCGAAGACGCCCATCGGAAAACCGCCTGCACTTCAAGAAAGTGCTAAGCCTACTTCTAAAGGTACTGCGGAAGGTGCCAAAGGGATGCCTACGCCAGTCGTAGGTAAAGTTGGCAGCTCACCGGCGAATATGGCGAAGAATCCCAATCCTACATTGCCAAAGTCCATAAGAATCCTCGCGACAGCTCAAGCACCAAGAATTCGTCCTGTAGTCATTCCCATACACCAGGTTGTTCCCAAAGGTAAATCTCCAGGGAAATTACCAGGGCAAATTCAATCGCCCAGGCTGAGTAAAGATTTGAAGCGATGACTTAGAAGGCTACTGGAGGAACGTTAGGTCTACTCAGTGTTCGAATTATACCCATTTCGCCATACTTTCAAGATGTTACTAGCACATTTGTTTCCTATAGCAACTGAATTAAATTAAAATTTTCAAGAAAATAAATATAAGGAATTTCTGGCAGCTATAACCACAGAGTATAGAAAAAATATCTCGAAGTCCAAAGAGATTTCGCTGAACGCGATGAAGGCAAATTACGGAAATTCCTTACTGGTGTGTGGGTGGGGGAACGCCTGAATAAGTCGATCGGGTGGAGTAGGTAGAACGGAAAAAGGGTGAATATCTTAGCAAGGAAATGATCCCAAACTCCTCGCAAATAGAGGTAATAGAGCCCACTTTCCTTCTTCTCACGAGTGGGATTTAACGAAGAGGACAGTTTCCCGGATGAACCTTGGCGGCAGTTGACACTAATCCTTCTGCCTTCAGTTCATACCCCATCCTTGCACAACAAACTTTGATATGTGTGTCTACTTTTGTGATCGGTCTTTGTTGAGAAAATAAGAAAGGAATTCTAGAGATCACTTTATGAACCTGCTCAGAGCCTTCAAACAATATTAACAACCATAAATTAGAAATCGATAACAACTAAAGTCACAATGCTACTTCAAAGTAATTGACATTATAGAAATCTCTGATCGTGGTCGACCACTTTTTTCAAATGTTGGAACTTGATTGATTTTTTGCACCACGTTCATTCCTTCAATCACCTGGAAGGGGGTAAAATAATTGATATTTTGTGAAAGATCATCCGCCCCTTCGAGCGTCCGATAAAAATATTTCATCAACAAAATTAATAATGCTGTACCTCTCCAAAAATGGTGTTCTTTCCATCTAACCATTCCGCTGGACATACTGTGATGAAAAATTGAGACCCATTTGAATTTGGACCGGCGTTTGCCATGGACACCTAGAATTACTAGTTTGAATGAAAAACTTATGAAGTATACAGTAATGGCTAATGAACCTTAAAAGGTTTGTCATGTCGTAGTCGTGGGTGAAACTCGTCCTCAAAGTCTGTTCCCCATATTGACTGTCCTCCTGTACCTTTTCCAGTTGGATCGCCAGTCTAAAATCCAAAGTCATAAAGGCATGAAAGCTTTTCGAATTTGCTTGTACTGAGAATAGATGCATTAAAATAAAATGGTCCCTGACCCACCTGTATCATAAACGATTTAATCACTCTATGGAACGTTAAACCATTATAAT